CACATATCAGGACATCTCAATAGAAATTCATTTTTCATTATAGCGATATGAATGTCACCTAACTTATAATTTTTTAATATAAAGGTGTATGATATATTTATGATATATATTATTTTTAAAAAATATAATAAATTAAATATTATATAAATAAATCAAATAATTAAGTATAAAGAAAGATCGAAATAAGACCTTGGTGCCTAATCATTTTTATATATACATTTTAAATACATCTTCCGATTATATAAACTGTGCGATTATAATCAGACTTGAAACGCACATAAATTGAACTAAAATCATAATGTTATAAATTAAATTAATCATCAGTTTAAAAGTGTATATTATTTTACAGATTTTCGCAACTTGCGCGACGTTTTATGTCCCACTTCTAGTTATTTTATTCCTGTATTGGAGGATATTCCAAGCGGCGCGAAAAAGGATTAGGAAGAGACCTGGCACTATTCTTCAGCCGCCGCGTGAACGAAGGGGCATCCTCAGGCTCGTCACGAGAAGGTTGTAATCTTTTTTGTTCCCTTCCTAATGTCACGATGTCAGAATCTCTATCTAAATCTGAAAACGTGTAATCGAAGATGTCATCTTTCGTAATTGCAATAAACTTGGAGAGCTCGAGGAATAACAATGCGCTAAGCCACGTAGAATAAATCTCACAGTCGAGCTGCTGAGAAATAAATTCTTCACAAGATTTAGTTTGCTCCCCTAATATCTTGCCAGAGAACGCATTCTTTATGGAGTTCATAATTTAACTTGTAAATAAATATTTTTATAGCACGCAGTATTTTATCTCAAGTGACTTAGCATGCTCTTAAGCATTTTTATTTCAATGACCAGTGCAGGCCTTTACTACGAGAACAAAGGTATGATTTTACCTGTTGATCGTTCTATCGTAAAAAGAACATTATCACTGCTTAATTATATATCTTCTGAGCTCTATCGTTTTTAAAATAAATCATTTATTTTTAAATTTCAAAATAAGTGTTTGATATATATATATTATATATTATATATATATTAATCTGCCATAAATTCTTTACTAAATTATCATTAATATTATTGTATAATGATTTGTTTAATATCGCTCCGAAACAATACTATTGTAATTATTTATCTTCGAATAAATATAAATAATTTTACATCTTTCTATCATTTCTTTAGACTTCTATTAAATGGAGAATAATTTTTCCATTTGTTCATTTTGCTTCAAAATTCATCCAAAATTCACGAATTATAACTTTGCGCAACATATTATTTTTTCCCTAATTATTTCATATCAATTTTAATAATTATTATATATAACATAATAATTAGTTCTATTATTAGATAGAAATTTCGTATTCTATAGCTAACAGTAAATTAATGTATCTTCTGCAATTATCAGAGAAACGCCACATTCAAATATACACATACAGAGTGCGTCACCAAAATCAGAACAAATTTCTATTTAAATTTTTCGCTATATTATCCTCCATCCTTCGCTATATTGTCTCCAGAGGTGTTATTGGCGTCGAGAAAGTCTGATGCTTCTAGCAAACAGTCAAAATGGCCACGATGTTGAAACCAAGTGCGGAGTATAATCGAAGAGCCACGAATATCGAAGGTCTTCGCGCTGGGCGTTCAGCAAATAATTCGATTCTTTGGATATCCGAAATCAACGTTTATGACGTTGTAATAAAATATACGGCTTTAGAACAGTCTAACAAAAGTTCCAGTATGCCAGCGAGGAAGAGTTATTCGAAAGAACGCGAGGATCCTCGCAGTCGATGAAAAGGCTCAAGCACTGATTTCAGATGACCTAGGGCAATCATTGCGAAAATTAGCATCGATTGTTAGTTTAAGCGAGCCAACAATGCGTCGAATTGTCGAGGAGGACCTTCGATACAAATTGTACACATTAAAGATACGACAGATGCTCTCTGAGACTGCCAGGACAAGCCGAATTGCTCGCTGCAATCTGCTATTGTGTTCCTTGAAAAACGAAGCGTCGGAATCAAGTTCTTTTCAGACGAAAAAATTTTTACTGTTAATGCCAAAATCAACCGGAGGAATGACCGATGGTTCGCCTGCAACCCCGAGGATGTCCTTGTTATTGCCAGAATGAAATTTGCGGCCAATGTTCACGTGCTAGGTGTTGTGTCCAGTGAAGGTGATGTTATGCCACCATTTTTTTTAAAGAAGAGGAAACTGTCACAAAAGAAGTGTGCGTTCTGATGGATATAGTGAAGCCGTGGATGAAAACTGTGGCGTCCGGAAGGTTATATGTTTTTCAGCAGGACGGCTCATATGAGTCGTTTGAGTCATTCAAAATTGGCTCTCAGACAACGTCGATTTTGGTCCAAAGAATTCTGGCCTCTCAACAGTCCAGATTTAAATCCCTACGTATGGGGCGTAATTGAAAGGGCCACAAACAAATCTCGGCCCAATATGACGTCATTAAGGACCGCTATTGAGGCAGCATTCGTCGGCGTTACATTACAGCATGCTTGCAAATGCTTCAGACTGAGAATAGAGGCCATCATTCAAGCTAAGGGGAGATATATCGAATATATATCGAATAATTATTTCTCTCTACAAGGATCCTCTAAATGTCATGTCAAAGGTTTTTTGTAATATTTAATTTTTCATTAAAAACATTTTGTTTAAAGAAATTGTTCGATTTGTCCGGATTTTGGTGATGCATCCTATATTTATGAAAGAAATGAATATATGATTCTTCATATATACAGTCATCCTTTCATCGCTTATTCACTATCTTTTCTTTCATAAAAATTCTTAATATCGCCGATCTCACGTCTTATTCATGCGATAACAAATCGATAACGATGAAAGAGCTTCTCTCTTTCTCTCTCCCTCCTCTCTCTCTTTCTTTCTCCTTTCTCTCTCTTTCTCTCTCGTCTTCTCTTCTCTCTTTCTCTCTCTTTCTTGATCAGCATAATTATGATTTATCTGGTAACAGGCCGCGTGAGGAATCGACGGCGTTCACCATCACGAGAACTACGCCAGACCACTCGTCCATCTCGCCGGAGAAGTCATCGTCATACAACGGCGCGAATGCCACACCGTCGACGACGGTAACACCGACGGCAATCTCGACGACGACGACCACTACCACCACGACGACATTGACAAATCCGACCAGCACGAGCCAGCAGCCGGTAGTCAAGTGCACGAAGCGCACACGCGAGACGATCGAGTCGAAGCGCGAGCGTAAGGCAGCGAAGACCCTGGCGATCATCACCGGTGCCTTCGTCGCCTGCTGGCTACCATTCTTTTTCACCACGCTGCTGCAAGCCACATGCCAGACTTGTAAGCCACCCGAAGTCGTGTCCAGTGTGTTCCTATGGCTCGGATACTTCAACAGCACCCTCAACCCCGTAATTTACACTGTGTTCTCGCCGGAATTTCGGCAGGCATTCAAAAGGATGCTGTGCGGTGGTACACGGGGACTTCGCTGACAGTGGATTTAATTCCTT